CGTTGAAATCGTAGGTGGGTGTGGAAGTCGGAGCGTTCTCATTCTGCGGCCAATCAGAGAAGTAGGAGGAGGTGGGTGATGCGGAGCCTGTGCGTATGCGGCTTTCATTGGTCGGAGGAGAGGTGACAGCTGTCTGACGGCGATTCTGTACCAGAAAATCTGCCACACCATGGGCACTCGCACGTCGTTCCCGCGGGGCATGTGTTCTAACCGGTAGCGGACTGCGGTTGGTCCAGGATTTCGCAATGTTGTCGGAGTAGTAATTGGGCGAAGCGATATCCGCAATAGCTGAAAAAGGTCAGTGGGGTCATGCTAGTACTTTAGTGTAAAAAGCACAGATTAGGAGTACCTGAAAGTAATGTTGGCTTTTTAATAAATGACAGGGAGAGTGTTTGCAGGAAAGCGCTTTTCAAGCAGTAACATAACCGCCATCGTCATCATTCAGTGCTGCCTATCCTGGGACACAGTTTTCGATGCTCTCTTTATAAATTAAGATATATTCTGATACGAAGAATCCACATAACCCGGTTTTGACATCATCAGTATCTCGAATATTTATCCGCCCGGAAATTGCTGCAGAGATCTAAACAAATGACAGTCAGTTGACGCACGATCAAGTGCTTAGGACAAATGGGAGTAAAAAGTTCCAACTCTATATCCCCGATCACGTTTTGGGTCTGTCAAGTCGACTGCGGTCTCATTTTGTCATGCATCAGGATGACATCTTTTTAGCTGAGTGACCCCGGATGTTTAATGGCAAGAGCTTAAGCTGCATATGTTAACAATAAAGATCTGTGGCTACGGCCTGATCTTGATACGACAGCGTAAAGTGAGATATGTGTACGATACTCCATCAAACAATAACGAGGCCTTCGTAGGGTCTGGGTTTAATTTCGGTCTGACAAGTAATGTCTGATCTGTAAAAAGTCATCGGTGTTTGGGCCGATCGCTGACGTACAGTGGCGATTCGATGAAGAGCTGGCCCTCTCTTCTGCCTGATTAGCAAAAGTCACAAACTGTGTAACACTGGGCTTAATTTTTTATCAAAAATTAGCGCGGAGTTTAAACTCTTTATCTTCTGATCTTCTTAACCTGTTTAAGGCGCTCTTAAACATTAGAACGTAACAAATTTAGTTTTTCCTGATAATTCCTCCATAGTTTGACGGGAACCTGCCATTATCCAGCTCCACGGGTCTTCCTGGGCGATAGACACTGGAAAGGCTGAAATTGACCGATCAGAATTCCACAGAACAACGTTGACACTTGCCACAACTCAATCATTGTGATAAACACCATAAATTGCTCGAGTGGCTGTTGTTATGCTGATTCCGTTGTAAACTTCATTCACGATACAATGATGAACATGACGACCTTTCGATTTTATATCTCCTGACTGTAACTTTACGCCGATAATGTAGATGTTTGGGAGTGTTTTTGTGAAGATAACCAGTGGAATTAATTCAGTGCAATTTTTCAACAAGAAAATATCGCTGAATAATGCAATCGGAATATTAGCAGGCACCGAATAGGGGGAACACGTCCAGACGTGCAGCCGTGTTTATAACGTTCGTGCACCGAGTTTTCATAGCTGATGTGTCGGAAGCTTTACTCATTTTACTCCACTTTCTAACCACAGGCGTCCGTTGTATTGACGAGTCGGCATGGTCTGTTGGTTACTGTATGACACTCTGTGAACCAAGATCACGAAGTGGTGGTGGTGGACTGGGTCGGAGGAGAGCGGGGTTGTTAGGAAGTGGTCGCGGGGTTGACCAATCAGAGCAAGTTGGACCGGAAGGCGCATATGGTGAGGTGTCGGCTACCTCCGACGGTCGTTATCGATATAGTACCACATGCTTGAGGAGTCTAACCAAAGCAAGATGTGTTCAAGTGGCCAAATTTTATAAAAGGCAGGAAATAAACTACTCGGTGAGCGTGTGAGCTGTTGCTATGGCGATGGGTCCGTCATGTGATTTTTCGCATCAGCTGGAAGGAATCAAGGTTCCATGAACGGAAGCAAGCAGCCCACTTACTGGCGACGGGCGAACAGGAGGCTTTTATTTGCTGCCGTCCGTGGCCCTCCTTCTTGGCCACCGTTGTGTTCTCCGCCATCACATTGACTTCAGCTGTGGGAGCTGCGTTACTGGGGCCTCCACTGCCGGCTTCATTTGCCCCCTGAGGGTCGGCGATACTCTCGAGAGAGACTGAGCTCGAGTCCGGACCGAATTTGGTATCCAGATAGCGGCTGAAGTTGCGGAAGCCGGCGGGCAACACCGGCGGCAGGAGAGTCGAGGCGGTCGACTGGCGATTGCGCGGAGACCGAGGCGACAGGTCAAGGTCACCTGCATCGATCAGAGGCAGCACATCGAAGTCAAGGTCAGAGAGCGATTTGGGGGTGTTTGCTGGCGGCTGGACGGTTTTTGGACTGGCGGTGCCGGCGCTGCCCAACTGATAGGCGTCCTCACTGGGGGATCTGTTTGCGGCGACGTACCAGCTGAATGGACGCTGGGGCTGTGAGTCCAGGTTCGGCGAAGTTTGCATGGCCAACATGTTATGGACAGCTTGCAGGAGATAGCGTAGCTGGAACCGAAAATAGGCCGGAAAATGAAAAAATGGCTGATTTGATAAAGTTAAAGTAATGGTAGGGGACGCTCACTGATCTATCCTACGGAACTAATTCGAGGCCTCCCAGCCCTCGTGCAGATCATGTGATTTTTTGATCTTTTCGTATACAGCGTGCGAATGAGTCATCGACAGCGGGTTTATTTCAAGGGTAGGGGGCGCTCACTGATCGTTCTTACGTAAATCACTCGTTCCGTTGTGCCTTACGGGCTCTCTCTCAAGTCCAACCAGCAGCCGCACGGCGGCGCATGATATAGGCACTATTACTGACAAGGACACGGGAGACTGGAATGGCCACTTCTGGCATCTTAGCCGTCTGTAAAAAACGATATTTTGAAGTATTTGAACAGATAAGCGACCAATGTCTCAGGCCTGGGAAGGACTCTTTCTAGTTGTGTACATTGTTTGGGGTTTTATATGCCGATTGTCTGAGTCCCCTTCAGAGTTCCAAGCTTCAATTATCTTACAGTTTCTCCTGTCAAAAATCAAACACTGGCAGTGCACTCCAAAGGATCAACAACAAACTCGGCACGTAGCTTGGTTATTCAATGAAACCAGTCAGTTCTGACACACGAGTCATGGCGCACCATTTCGGGCTAATTAGCCGTCGTCAGCCAGTCGCATGCAACCCCGAAATGTGGAGCACCCGGGGCTCGATCGCGCGACCTGTTAGTTAGAAGTCCAACGTCTCTAACAACGTGGCTGACGTGGCTAAGCGGCCCGTCCACGCGTGCCTCACACACGACATGGGCATGGGCGGTCCCCGTGTCACGAGGGTGAGAGCGCAATAAAGACTACAGTAGGTGGGCTAAGTCATAAAATGTCAACCGAAATTCCGAAATGCGTTTTCGTTTCGAAAGGATTAATTAAGTAGGGTTTTAAAACCAATCCTCATACAGCATAATTCTATGATAATTTAGTTACCACGGGAATCCGGCTTTTGAATGAACTTAATTCTGTAAAAAATGACTACTTAAGTAGCGTGATTTTTTAAATTGATTTTAAATGCCCCCAAATGTCCAGTTATATTTCATGAAAAACACGCATAAAAATATTCATTCTTTCACTTATTCGGTAGAAAATTACGTCATCTTCTAATTTTATACTCGTAGAAAGGATATTATTCGGTTTTAAAAAAGTTTCTTATTGAACGACTTTTAAGTACCGTGAAATGGCCGTTCATAAATCGTCATATCTCTGCATTTACTAATGTGGCTTGTAGAGTTAACACTATGAATCTAATCCACTGCCAAATTTTATGAACCCTATATGGTTCCCCTTTAACACTGTAGAGAAATTTGTGGTTTTCCGTACGCGGAAAATATACTGCTTGATGTTTGGAAACCTTAAATCCAAGTGTAATGGTAGAGCGGATTCAAAATTATTCGGGAATTGGAAAAGTTTTTAAAAACCGAATTATACTCCCCTTTTGAGTATAAAATTAGAAGAAGACGTAATTTTCTACCGAATGAGCAAAAGAAGCAATATTTTTATGCGTGATTTCCATGATATATAATTGGAATTTTTCTGGCATCGAAAATCAGTGAGAACATACATGCCGTTTAAGTAGTCATTTTTTATAATGCATTTTGTCATGCAGCCGAAGTGAAGTTCATTCGAAGGCCGGCATCCTGAGGTAACTGAAATATTATATAATTATGTTGCGGGCGGACTAGTTCTACAACCCTACTTTATTAATCCTTTCGAAACGAAAACGCATCTCGGAATTTCGGTTGACATTTCATGAGTTTGCCCACCTACTGAATATTAAGAGGCAACCATCGCCGTCTGGCCTAAGTCCTGATGGGGATCTAGATATGCCTTCGTGTGGTAACCCTCCAAGCTACAGCTCTAGGCGCGTCGTAATATATACAAGCATATCAGCCTTTGGTTAGGAGGAATGCCGCTGGGATGGATTCTATAGTCAAAATTCCAGTACTTGAACACATTAGACACTTTGGCAATTGAATTTTACAAAATTTTTTGAGTTTCTTTCAAAAACACTAGAAGACATTGCCAGCTACACCTATGCCTACTACGGGGAACCGCCAATAAGATTCGTGCTTCAGACTGATCGCTTCACTGGCAAAGTGAGGAATGTTTGCGAAATGAAACTGTTCCGACTCCACTTTTTCTTCGCATTAACAGTTTAAAAGCGTTAAATTGCTTTGCGCTTATATGACTATATGAAATTATTGCATACTAGGTGGAAGTAGACCTCGATGAATAGGCAGCCTGTTTGGACTGTTTCATCCCCCACGACCGGAGAAAAAGCTCATTTTAAATTCCAGTGTGCACTTGGTAGGATTTGTGAGTACAAAGTTGTAACCCATTGTTACCGAGCTGTGCCTGCACGTTCTAAAGACGTTTTTACTGACTAGCATACAGTAGATGTGGTAACTCATAAAATGTTGACGAAAATTTTAAAAAGCGTTTTCGACTCAAAAAGATTATTTAAGTAGAGGCGTGATTTTAGTCACCGTGCAGGAAATTACGTCGTCTTCAAATTTAATGCCTGAAACAAGGGTATAAGTCGGTTTTTAAAAAGTTCCTTATTATGGGTTTCTTTAAGACCATGAAATGCTTGTTCAAAAAACATCGTATCTCTGCATTTACTTATGTTGTTTGTAAAAGTTACAATATGGTACAAATCCATTGCCGAATATCATGAACCCCATACGGTCTCCCTTATCTGCCGTATTGAAGTGCACGATTCCCCGTAGACGGAAAATATAGAGCTTACACAGTACAGGTACAAACTCATAAAATGTAAACTGAAATTCTGAAATGCGTTTTCGACTCGAAAAGATTACTTAAGTAGAGTTTTACTATCGATTACCATGAAATTCAAATATTTTGGCATAACGAATATTGAAAAAACTTCCTTTCGGCCGCCTGTAAAAACTGCACTCCGTAAAAAATTGCATCTTAAGTAGCACGAATTTTCCTCATTGATTTTCGATGCACTTAAAAATTTAAATATATCCAATCAAAAATATACATGAAAATGCTTTGTCTTTTACTCATTTGGTAGGAAAGCACGTCTTCTCCAAATGTTATTCTTGGGGAAAGTGTACAGTTTGGTTTTAAAAAAGTTTCTTATTATGTATTTTCAAGACCACGAAATGCCTGTCCACACCACACTGTCTCCGCATCTACTAATGTCGCCCGTTAAGTTCACAATATGACTCAAGTCTTCTGCTAAACTTAATGAACCTCATATACTATCCTTTAGTTATCGTCTAGAAATCTGTGATTTTTCGTACACGGAAAATACAAGGCTAGTAGTTTTGAAACTCTGAATGCAAGTTTAACCACAGGTAGAGTTTAAAATTATTCAGGAATCAGAAAGGCGTTTTTCACACCGAAGTATACACTTCTTTCGGGCATAAAATTCAAATAAAATTTATTTTTCTACCAGATGAAGAAAAGAATATTTATTTGCATGCGTGTTTGCAAGGAAATACATCAAACTTTATGACGTCATTGAGCAACAATGAGAAACGTTCATGTTACGTAAGAAATCCCTTATTGCAGTGTGCCGTTTTCGGTAGCGACCGAAAAAATTCATTCAGCATTCGGAATCTTAATTTAACTGAGTTATTATGGGATTTTGCTGCATGTTGATTAAATATTACAGCCCTACGTCAGTTATCTTTTCGAGCCAAAAACGCATTTCAAACTTTCGGTTTACATTTTATGAGTTAGCACATATACCGTCATTTGGAAACCCTGAATGCAAGTGTAGCGGCGGGTCAGTTTCAAAATTAATCGGGATCGGAAACGTTTTTTAAAACCAAATTATACCCTTTCCAAAAGTGTAAAACTTGAGTATGATTGAATTTTCTACCAAACGAGCAAGGGAATAAATATTTTTCTGCATTTTTTCTATGAAATATATTTGAATTTATAAGGCCTTTGAAAATAAATGAGAAACAATTATATTCTATAGTGGCCATTTAATGCAAATTGTAGTGTTTGCAGGCAGCCGAAAAGAAGTTGGTTCAAAAACCGGCATCCTGATGTAACTGAACTATCATGGGATTATGCTGCAAGGTGATTTATATTACAAGCCTACTTAAGCAATTTTTTGAGTCGAAAACGCATTTAAGAATTTCAGTCGGCATTTCATTAGTTAGCACATTCGCTGTACTTTCGAGAGGAACACCAGACACACGGTTCGCTATGGCAGGAGAGCGGAAGAACAGTCGAATGCCTGCAGTCGAGGTCTGACAAGCTAGAAAAAGCTTTTAGGTCAAGAATGTGCAGGACATTCTTCCCTTCGTGTCGACCCTTTTTAAATTCTTTTCTTTCTGCCCCATTTCGGCCTACCCCAGCCCTAAAGTGCCACCACATACCTCTTTTCCCAAACAACCCAAAGATCAGGAAATAGACGCGGACGAAAGAACGGGAAATGACAATCAAAACGACAACAATAGCGGAAAATTCCAAAATCAAAATGGGGTACCAAAAGGAGTCGGAAAAAGACGCAAGGTGTCAAATGTGCCGACACTTTAGAAAAAAGATTGAGGAGGGAAAGTAGAAAGGGAATATGAAGCATTCGGATTATTAGAAGGTCAAAAATGTAGGAAGAAGATGAAGAAGAAGAGGAGTAAGAAAGAGAAGAAGGAGGGGTGGGTGGAGAGAATCATAAACAAAAAGACATAAAAGGGTAAACTACAAATGTGATACAGGAAAGTGAGATCGTGAACTCGGCAATGAGGGGAAAGAAGACGCTAATGAGCCGGACGCTGATGAAAAAAACAACAGGTAGGTGCGCAGACTACGGAAGAGGATGAAAAGTAGATAAATAGAAAACAGATTAAAAGGTGGTAGAGCACGACAGTTTGGAGAGGAGATTAAGGCAAAACAGAAATAATGGAACGAACACCCCAGAGTGGGGAGTGGGGAGAATATCGATTCGGTAGGGGGAGGAAGTTAGAAAAACGGGAAGGATATGAGGTAGAGAAGAGGCCAAAAAGGAAAATAAGGAGAAAAATGGACAGGCATAAGAGGTAGACGAAAAGTCAGTAAAAAATTATCGAAGACGTCTGGAATGTCTGTGTGCGCCTGGATCGTGACCCTAAACAACACGTTCCAGAATCCCGCTACCAGCGTACAGCAGTCACTAGGGCGATAACCCATTGCGTGCTGGCAGGCATCCAACGCCCACGCGTGCATGTCCAACGTGCAATTGGGAATTTACAAGCTGCACCTACGCGCGCCCGTACACACACGCACACGCATTCGGAGGGACGAATGCCCTCGGTGGGGCTAGTCACATGCGACACAATTCCCGGGTCTATAGTACTGGCTGCTGTTGCGTCGTCGGAAAATAGGCCAGCGCCGCGTACAAGCCAAGACACTTGCAGGAAGGTAAAACTGGAGTTTCTCTTTGCGGCTTTCAACTGCTGTGGAAGAGCGAGCAAAAGGGTGAAAGGGAGGAAGATGAGGATGAGGAAGAAGGAGAGGAAGAAGAATGGGGAGGAGGAGGAGAAGGGAAGGGAATAGGAATAAGAATCACCCTCGAGATTATTACACAACGAACTAATTTTTCAAGCAACTTGCAGCTTGACTTTACCCGGGCTGAACCTTTTTCCAAGTAAAGCGCGGTGCGACTGTCGAGTCCTAATATAAATGTCAGGAAATATGTTGACGCGGGCTGAAGGCAGGAATTCCCTTTTAAATAAGCTAAAGCCGGCTGATGCTGTATCGCCCCTTCTGGTATTTCGCATGCAACATGGAGGGGCGGCGAGGTATTGGGATATTGGGCAACTATTTATAGAATCCGAAAGTGTCGCCTCATTCTGGAATGCACAGAGTTCTACAAAGGGAATTAGGTTGTCAATCTGAAGGGAATTTTGACTTTCCCTATTGCCTGAAAATACGAGTGAGGGAGAGGCTGTCTGGGAAAGTATTCATAATTTCCGTGGAAAATTCATCCTGCTATTTTGGGGGAGTCACTGTAATCGGCCTAGATCGGGAAACGAAATGTTTTTTTTAGTAACACGTTCACGGTCATCCTCTTGTTGTACTGCAGTAAACGTACGTCAGGTAGGGAATGTTGGCTCATTAATCTAATTCACTTTACTAAAGTACAGAACTTGCAGTACTAATAGAGCTAAATAAGGCAGGTAAAGTGTTCACTTCTGAAGCAATTTAGACTCAACTTATTTTCGGCAGGATCGCGCATAAAGTTTTACCTTTGTATATTTGTCTATTTCAACACTCTGTCTGACGTCCCACGTCAAAGATCCTGCTAACAACCACCGGAGGATCCATTCCTATCCCCTACCCATGGTTAATCTCATACGAATTTCGTCTGCTTTTGAGTTAACCAGAGATCTTAAATAGAGAAGCCACGTGGAGGACGATGGCTCACAGTCAAACGGGGCAAAACCATTGGCGTAGAAAAGACTCGAGAACGTAAATCTTAACGGAAATTCCTTGGCTGCGTGTCTGAGGTTATCCGAAGCATTTTAAAAGTACTGGTCCATAGTACTATGTTAAAAGTATGTAAAAGAATAAGTCTGTCTCAAGAGATAACTTGTGAAAATCAAGTTGCGAGAGCGTGAATCACGCACTTACAAGTGCACCTGAGAATGTATTTCGAAGGCCCGTTTAAACATTGAATGGTGTGATTCTGGCCTTATTTCTGATATGATACGTCTAAACGGGACATGACGACAGGAACTGCCCGAAACACGGCTGGTTTTGAACCAACTTCCAGTAAAATTTGGATCAGGTTTAAGGTAAGGGCTAGGGTTAAGTTAAGGCTTAGGTTCAAGGTCAAGCTTGAAGGTAGCCGTAGTATAAGCCAGGATCAAGTTTAGGGTCGAGGTGGCGACTAGCGTTAACTGCACAGTTATGATTAAGCGTAGGGTTAGGGTTCAAATTAGGACGATGTGTAGTTTTATATTAGGATTGTTGCTGGCGTTATGGCACGGGAACATTTTGTTCTTTCCATTGTTATGCACATGTCCACCTTTATTAATTGGACGGAATATTCCTATTTCCAACTCTTGTTTAGACGTCCATGTAAGTCAGTGCCGCCTTGCAGACTTCATGAAAGATCGCCGGAGGTACAAAAACCTATCTGTTTATATAAAAGTGGAACGAGACGAGGGCATAGTTTACAAAAAACAATACCACAGTGTTTCATGCTAGGACTCAGCTGAAAAGTCTTCCGCAGTCCATATCAATAAATTTCTTGGAAAAGTCTGTCGTGGTTCGTTTACATGTTTCCCTTTATCATCCATGTAGTTTTTAAAAGCAATCACATTTTGAAGAAGGAGACACGATTGCTGGGACAAGAGCTTTATTTGCCTGACGTTTCAGATTCCTGCTTGAACCCATCATCAGGAACAAAAGCAGACACGTCTCGAGCAGGAATTCAAAACGTCAGGCTAATGAAGCTTTTGTCCCAGCGATCGTGTCTCAGTCTTCAGGACTGCTTCCTGGGACTCGTCTCTTCGCTCCTATTGACAGTCATATTTATTATAAAAGATACACGAGTGCCCAACACTGCATTTGGTTTTAAGAATATTTTGTTTTCAACTTAGGCGACATAATCCAAATGAATTCCGGTATGGAATGAGCGACAGGATATCTCTTATTGGGCCGTAAAGAGAATTAAGCTGCCCCAGAAAGGCCATATAAATTGCGAATTTCAAACTGAAGCGTAATTTTTCTTCAGAAACGACACTTTCAAAAACAGTAATATTCTAAGAAACTAAAATATGAAAACAAAATTTTCCATATTTTTTATCTTAAAAGCACTGAAAATAAGCGTGAAAATCTTTATTTGGCAATTAGAGTTTGGTGTCCAAATGTGATTGGCACGATGGTCAAAACTGTTCATAATTGACAAAAAATACAGTAGCGCGTGTTAATCGGCTGAGACCAAATTACTTAAAGGTGTAGGTGCTTCATGGGATTTTTTCCTCCACTACATCTTATAGAGGTATTTGGGGTTGCAGGCTTTTTCCGAGCACGCAGGCAACTTTGAGTCAAACTTACAAAACACAAAATGCATAAAACTCTTCCAACTTTTTCCTGGGAAAATAACTCTTCGGAATTATTAATCCTCGATGGCAAACCACTTTTAACCTGGTTAAGTTTCCAGTGTGCGAGAGGAATTATATCAATTGTACCACGTCCTTTTCTTCAAGTGTGCGTGAACATGTTTGAAAAGAGCTGCAAAGACGCTCGTTGATGTGGAAAGATTAAGGGTATAGGATGTATACTCTGTCACGCAGGGAGAAGTCGGGCTGTAATGAATACCTGTTTAGTCACCTGGACATTATTGCAAACTGTATAAGCTCTATATGACATCTTCCCATTAACGCAGTGAAATATGCGATTTTGCTCATACGGAGATTGTCCGGCTTGCAGTTTGAAAACCCTATGTGCAAACGCAACCGCAAGCTGGGTTTAAGATCGTTCAGAAATAAACAGTTTTCAAGCGCTTTCTTGGAGGATAAAGTTTGGAGACTACGTATTTCGTCACCAGATAGGTATAAGAAAGAGTGTTTTATGCATCTTTTCTATAAAATATGTTTGACTACTGAGGATCAGTGGAAAATATCATACCTATATTGCAGTCGTTTTGCACCGAGTGTAATTTTTGCATGCGACCAGAATGAAGCTCATTCAAATGACGATATAATGGCCTAATCGAGATATCTTGAAATGATGTTGCATGGTAATCGCTATGTCAACCCTATTTAAGTTACTCTGTCTTATCAAAGACGTATTTCAGACTTTTAATTGACATTTAATGAAACAGGGCATTTACTGTAGGTTACTGTCAAGAACTGGCAGGGTCATTATTAACCATGCGCGTTCGCCTAGATGTGCTTACCTGATCTTGAGCAAGACCGATGAAAGAAACCCGCCGCCTGAATCAAAATCCTCTTCGCACACCAATAATGACGGCTATCAGTTGTTTGAGTAGAGCTTTCCATAAAATCCAACAAGTTAAGTGATCATACTGAGTTTCTACATGACAGACAGTGCGTCCTTTTGCAGCAAGGCACAGTTCGAACTTTCTTAAGGGAAGGATATACTAATTACTCGAAACCACCAAATAGAGCGAATGGTAGAGCAAGATATGTTCCGCTTATGGTAGCCGAAAAGCTTAGCATAAAATGGATTCACCTTAGTAGGATGCAAAAGTAAATTGTTTCTATCGAGTTTATCATCAGAATCGCAATGGTGAAACAAAGTACTCAAGGCACATCCATAGAAAACGCAGGCATAATTAATTCTGTACTGTTGTTTGTTTTAGGGAGTCCCTAGACGTGTTGAAGACGGCCCTTCGGGTCCTAATCGAATATTTCATTAGCTAAATTCGAAACGTGAGATCGAAGTGTCAACGGCGTGCAATATTGGCAACGTTGGACTGGTTTCCCTTACCGGACCATTAATGTTATCTAGATAACCGATTCCCAAAAACTAGCGGAGGATCAAATGAAGGACAGACCTGTCGAATAAATGTTGACCGTTCGAGGCAGGCCATCGGCTTCAACCGCTTTTGGTGCGTCTTCAGCGCGCAACGGGCCTGCAATTACGCGGGTGAATGAACACTGCTCGTCGGTCGTCCGCGGCTCAAGACGATGCCGTGTCTGCTGTACCTCCCCAGCTCTTGATGAGTGTGAGCGTATAACTGACTCTCTCGCTCTCCACTCTCTTTGCATCCGCAACATAGGGTCGTTATTTCCAGACTAAATGCCTCCGTTCTCTAGTGTACATACGTTTTGGTTATTGCGTCTAGTGGCTCCTTGTCGATACATTTGGAACATTTACAAGCGGACAGCGACTTTGCTACTGGCATGCAGGTCTTCGAGCCGCCTATTTAAGCAGGAATTGGAGGGACTGTTGAATATTTTACCTTTGTTAACCTCAACTGCATTTCGCAAACTGCCAATTCATTTCTCTTCGTCAAGATGAAACCGACTTAACGATTATCCGCCAGCGTTGGTCCTGATAAAAACATGTCTTCGTTGAAAAAAGAAGTAGCCAAGCCCCTCGAAGCTTATTACGTGTCGCAGAATATGGTCATAATGCGTGTCTGAGCTCCTAGCCAGCACCACTGCTGCTAACATAGCGAGTCAAACGGCATGTGTATACTACTGACCGCCTGTTAGCGGTTCATGAATATTACCCTGATGTGGCTCAAATATCCATAAAGAATTTAAGATTAGGATGGTAAAAATTCATTACGACTGATTTAATCCAAGTCATTCATTCGAACGCAGAAAACATTCCGACCTAGTTCAGGCCAAAGTCATGGCACTGTGGGTGCCTCCGATCCCACCCTTCGACGAGGGATCGCGACTGCAAACCACAGGATCGACAGGTAGACCACCGTTGAAGAAAATGAATAAAAATGGACAGTGAGCGACTACGGCGTGTTTCTACTAGGTGTTTTTGCCACAGTGCGTATCCATAGTGTTGTCGTACACACTGTTCCTTTAATTTTTAAATGTGCAATGGCTTTCTTTACATTTGCATACTTGACGAAATTAAAGGTTTCCTTAAGGAGTGCCTCAAAGAACGAACGCACATCAGTATTGCTCTTCTACCGGCTAACGAACTGAAAAGCCTATCGCCCTTAAACGTACCTTTGCATGAAAAAATGGGCATGCTCTGATTCGCGTTAAATAAGAAACAGCCCAAATACTCTGCCAAAAAATATGCTCCTCTATGTTCTGTATCTGTTTTCCCTGGAAATATGACTGAAGTTATCTCACATAAAACGTGGGTCGAATTTAAAGTAAAACGCACTTTGCCAGTTTCTCGAGCTTTTTCACTCTCTACATTCAATAGAACCTTGCTTGAACCCGATATAAAGGCATACGCACGATGTTTCGTCGCAAAGAAGCCTGCAACCAAAGTGATCCGTACCTGCGGAACACACATACATCCACTCCTCTGTCTTGCCACCCAAGACGAGCAGATCACGAACGACGCTTGAAATGTCACCAAGGGAATTTATCAAGCCCTGTTATTCCTTCCTTAAATGTCAAGGACTAACAGTGCGAGAGGAAAGGTTGTTCACTCGGCGTCCGTGTTCGAAGGCCTGAGACAAATCGGACGACCAAATTTGGCAACCACTTTTGGTGTACAGGTGCAGCTTGTGTTTAAGGCACTATAGTAACAAACCATTGGTGCATCTGGTGGTCATTCTAGACGGTGGTGAATAAAAAAAACCACCGACCTTCGCATTCCGCCTTTCGCCAACATGTGAATAGGCACTTTTCTTGAAGTACGCTTTCTCCTATTCCTCTTCCCTTTCAGTAACTTGGATCTCGCACATATCCTTACAAGTGAAACATAAATATTTACAGGAATCCGCCGCTATATTGCACCTTGGCTTTCGAGGCTCCACTCTATCGCCGATTTTATATGCAAGCATATCTGAATATGAATCGTAGATTTTCCGCTGGTTCGCAGATTTCTGTGGACAGCTGGTGTTTTATTTCTGATACATGCTTCCTCAGTCTGTTTGCCCACGGGACACTGTTGGCTACATTTTTATTAAAAATGTATTATTAAGGTGTGTTCAAAACTGTATTACGCACTAAATAAAACTCAGTCACGCTTGATACGTATGCTTGCACATACAACATAGATACTGTGGTGAAATACATAATTTCAACGAATACTTAGGAATGTTCAATAGAATACAACGGTTTCATGCCGTATAACTGTGTGATAAATGCTTGTGAGAATATGGAATTGTTTAAAATGACTTAAATATATAAAAACAAAAATTAAAACATGTATTACCTAGAAGATTTTCACTTTCGCCGAGGTTTCTCGAAAGCATGCATCGGGGATAAAGGGGAGATTACTGCATATCATTTGCCCGTTGGGAATGTAGTAAGGGGATTTTCATGTACAGTAGGCGGGCTAGCTCATAAAATATCAACCAAAATTCCAAAATGCGTTTTAGTTCCCAAAAGATTTATTAAGTAAGGTCGCAAAATTAATCATCGTGCAGCATAATTCTATAATCAATTATTTCAGGATGTCGGTTTTCGAACTAACTTATTTCCGGCCGCATGCAAGCATAATACTCTGTAAAAAGCGACTACTTAAGTTGCATGCACTTTTCTCCTTGATTTTCGTTCCCCTAAGGCACAACGGAACGAGTGAGTTCCGTATGAATGATCGGTGAGCGCCCCCTAACATTATATAAATATTCATTATTTTGCTCAGTCAATAGAAAGTGCGGTTTTCTTCCAATTTTTTGCTCGAAAAAGGGTGTAATTCGATTGTAAAAAGTTTGTAATTCTGAGATCTTTTTAATTCCGTGAAATGGCCGTTTATAAAACGTCATGTATCTGCATTAGCGAATGTGGCTTGTTAAGTTAACAATTTTGCTAAAATCCACTGCTTAAGTTTATGAACCCCATATGGTCTCCTTTTAATACGGTTTTCCTACTCAGAAAATATGCGACTTGCAGTTTGGAAACCCTGGATGCAAGAGTAACGGCAAGTCGGGTTCAAGACTATTCGGGATTTGGAAAAGTTTTTGTTAACCGAATTATACCCTTCCCTCGAGTAAAAAATTGGAAAAAACACCATTGTCTACCGAATGAGCAAGAAAAATGAAAAATTTTGTGCATTTTTGCCACAAAATAAAGTTTCGGAGCATCGAAAATCAATGAGAAAAATGCATGCTACTTAAGTAGTCGCTTTTTATAGAGTACCGTGTTTGCATGCCAATTATAGAATTATGCTGCACGATGATTAGTTTTACAACCCTACTTAATTAATCTCTTTGAGACGAAAACGCATTTCGGAATTCAGGTTGAAATTTCATGAGTTAACCCAGCTACTGTATACATGTTGCAAGGAGTATCGGCAAAAAGGTGAGCATAGATTCGTTGGTTGTGGATCATTAACCGTCACCATGTAGCCATACCAACTTCAAGTCTGGAGCCCTGAGCTACCATTAAACTACAAGCCCGTTGTCCTGCCAGTTGCGATCGAAAGTATGAACTGTGTTCGAATATCTTACAGGGCTGATAAACCAGAAATAGTCTGTTTTGTCTCTCTCATCTTGGTCGACACTTCTTTTAGCATATTTTCGTGGTCGTTATCTGAACATGTCCAGTGACTCGATCGGTGGATGCAGTTCCAAAACATATATGCCTGCATGTATATAATATTTGACAATTGTTTCACCATAATGCCAGTAAAGGCATTAGGTCAAAGCCCGTACACACGTTCCGCTGAGGTTTCTTCGGATGCTGGCACATTGGGAATCCACCCGGGAAACGGACTCCCTCATTTTAGTCATGCGGCGATACATTAAACTGAACCTCTACTTACTACCAACGTTTGGATTGCGCAAAAAACCTAGTACTGTACAAAGAAACTTAAAGTGTATATACATACGTCTGTGTGTAGTTGACTGGCGGGATAAGAAACAAAGCTTTCACATCAAGGCAAACTGCCGCCCAATGTCTGATGTCCACAGAATAAAGTTCATTTTACAAAAATCGCTCTAATGCGCCAATTATACGGACACATTTAAACCGCTCTCATGACCCACGAACTTCCACCTGCTCTCTGATTCGCAGTCTGTTTCCCATCACTGCCTCATTATTTGGGGCTGGACTCATCAGAATGCCCGTTTCCGGCTTGCTGACCCTCATCAGCAAGTGATACCTCAGCCCCCGGGCGTTGGTATATCCAGGGTGCGGATGCGGCCCTTGATCGGCGACATTTTTCGGTGATTCACTATCTGTCGATATGTATCAGCTAGTATGGGCTATAAATTCGGACCTTCGACGCAAAAGGGAAGTGTCCGTTGCCGTACTCTACTCAGAATATTCACCTTTACCACGCTCTCGTGTGGCGCTAACACGTTTTCTTATACTTAGAGGCAAAGACATCCAAAAAGGAACACTACCTGTGCGAAGGGGGCTGCAGTTCCAGACGACTTTTGTAGCAAATTCTACCTTTGCTGACGCCGCTAAGCCACTGGCGTGCAGGCGCCTTCAAACCAACTTATTTGAAACTAGGGACTAATCGGTGGGAGGCAAAAATTTCAGAAAGTCGATGACACAAAAAACGGCTCGATAACACAGGCGGTGGGTGATAACGGATATGCTTTTTGAAAACCAGCGCGCAAAATGAATTACCTAGCTGGAGAGGAAGGAAGGGCGAGGGAGAGTTTGCTCCTGGTCTCTGGCTAATGATCGCTAGAAGGATGCGATGATGGTCTCAGTAATTCCACGACCTTGCGGTATCAGGAGTACCGCGCGCACTTAAGATGACCCTTCCCTGATATGCCGCTGTGCCTGTTATCGCAACCAAAATAGCCAGCAATATATATGGATACCTCCACACACACAGGCAGGGTGGTGAAGAAAAGGAGTGGTCAATCAGTGGCAGAAACGGTCAGGTAGATCTTTTCACCGGGAGGCGAAAGAGGGGGTTAAAGAAAGAGGGGGTGGGAGAGACTGCTGGGTAAGAAGATGCCAGAATGCGCGGCCACTGGCCTTGATTGCATCACCTAAATCTGACACTCTTGTACAGACACCCACACCCACATACAGGCTCGATGAAAGACAAATAGACTTCCTAATGTGGTAATTTTGGGGAGGGCGGGGGTCTGGAATGAAACATGATAAGGCGTATGGTTGCGTGTGTGTGTGTGTGTGTGTTGAAACACGCCACACATGCTTACCCCCTCCCCCCTGTTGGGGTTGCTGATAATGCATCGGTAGCATGGTTTCAGGAGAGGTCTGAAAGAGCCGGTGGTCGAATGTGGATGCATTCTTACGAGACCGCGCCCACCCGTAATGATATCACGTACGGCTGGCGTAGGAGAATGGGGTGGGTTGCCATGCATGGGCCACCGACGCCGCCGCCGCCAGCGTAAACATGCACACACATGCCGTCCTCCTCCAGGCTAACCGCAGGTTGTCTCTGCTGGGACGTGGGGGTGTGAACTCGACTGCCTAGCCTTCACATCTTTTGACCGTCGCATTTTCCCAACACACCACGGTGCTAGTGAGATACGCGAGCTAGTACGCACGGGAAACTGTTTCACCTTCTAAATATCAGTTTCTCCAAACCTAATCTGCACATAAAACGCTCCCACACACACACACTCACAGAACACACACAGAGATCCAGCATTCTGATCCGAGTGGGTTGTGTGTGATGCTGGTAGTTGCCCCCCTCCCCCTTCCCCACGTTGGTGCACGCCGGCCGGATTTCTTGTTTTTCCATACCTACGGGAAGCTGGGAGGGCATTAGCCAATGAGAATGTTTCCGCTTCTGTTGATGCCGCTGTTGTTGCTGCCGTTAGGGTGGGACAGCCGAGGGCGGCTGACCAGCAGACGCCAGTGCGGAGAGGTCTTCTGACGACTTAAGAATTTCAGGAATGCCATGGCAATGGCGGCTGCCGCCTCCTTGATAAGCTGGCAGCCAAGTAAGAGCGGGCAATGGCGCGAGGGGAGGGAGGGGGGGGGGAAGAACGAAACCCGTGTGCACGCAGAAGAGGGAGGCCACTGATGTGAACGCAAGAACACGCGGTCCCAGCCATAATGTCAACTGTAGGCGGGTTCAGGAATGTGAGATTGGCGGGTGGGAGCCCACAAACCGAGCCATGCACATGGCCTCGCCGATGCACCTGAAAAGCTCGAGGGTGCACAGCGGAGGAATGCGCGTGTGTGCCTATCACTTGCTGAAGTCAAAGCCAGACTGTAAGGAGAAGGCGGAGAACAGTGAACGGTAATCAGCGACCGGCAGCGGTGTCAACGTGAGGATGGAGACTGTGGGATCGGCTAGCCTGGGCGTTGATGAACCGAAAGTATGCGCATCATTATTTGGTGACGTAAAACGTGCAACAGGTGGGATTTTAGACGGGTACTTATGACTACTTTGGTTTCCTCCCTTCCATGGAGAGCGGATTCTCATCCGAAATGAATTGCCGCACTTTACCGTTCCCTGTAGGCCACTAAAGGACACGGGGTAATTGTAAAAACCTCTCACAACAGTTTTTTTCAACTGACACTACAACAAATTGTAAGGGTTTCGATAAAAGACGTGAAAAAAGTGTTTGGGGACATGGGCGACTCAAGTTTACCGGTGCGCCATTACGACGGATAGTGCCACATGGGTGAAGAGCTAGTTTGTAAATGAGATGATACCGACAGAAACAAGGGAGACCGGAATGGTAATTTCTGGCTTATTAGCCGTCATCAGCCAGTCATACCCAACCCCAAGTGTGGCTCACTTGGGATTCCAACCCAGGATCTTTTGCCATGGTGTTTGACACCCTACCATTGAGCCACGCTGTGCGACTGCCTGCGAGGGTTCTAGTATGGGCGCCAAGACAAAACGGTGCGAGTACGTTCCATAACCTGATTGGTGAGCGCCCCTTTGTCGTAAGAAGTAGTTGGTGTTTGTTAATACGAGTGCTCAAACGTGAACATGTGTGACCATCACAAACGTAAAAATAATTGGCGTATAGGCTGCGATAGATTAAACTTGTACGTTGCACATTGGGGAGGGATCCTTTATTGGAGGCACCACTGCGCGCATTGTGAATGCTGAGACAATTTACCGACCCGACGACCACTTCAGAGGTCCCGTGAATATAAAGCCGGGAGCAGAATACCTGCGGCACGAAATCTCGATTGACGATGGGGCCCTGGGGCTGTGTCAGATACTCAGAACAGTTCCTTACATAACTGGTCGTGCATCCGTCAGGGCGAAATAATGATGTACAGACAGTGGCCAATCTCATGAAATGTTAACAGAAATTCTAGAAGGAGTATCCGATTAGAAGGGATTACACTAGTGGGACCATAATACTGCCTATCTTGCCACGTAGTCTTGTAATACTGCAAACATGCTTGGCTGCTGGCTTTTGAATGTACGCCTTTTCGGCCGCCCGCAAGAACCGCAATCGGCAAACCTGACGACTTTATTTGATTGCCTTTTTCTATAGAATTTTAAACCCCTTATAAATAAAAGATATTTTGCAGAAGACGTATGTAAAAACCTTTTTATCCTGTACTCCTTTGGTAGCAAATCACGTTTTCCTCAAACTCTGTACTCCAAAAAGGGAATATTGGTTTTAAAAAGTTTTTTCAACTTTCGATTAATTTTGAGCTCGATCTGTCGTTCCATCTTTGCTTAGGGCTTTTAATTTACAAAACGCATACAAAAGCAAACATTTATTTATGTCCTTGAAAAATGTCAAATGAGACTCATAAGGTTTCAGCGAACGCAGACTGTGTTGTTAACTTTATTAGAAGCATTACTGGACAGGCAGATATGGTGTTATTTAAGTAGGCAACGCGCAGTCCTAAAAACGTTACAATCAAAAACGTTTTTAGAACAGGAAGAGACCCATAATACGAAGATAAAATTTAGATAGGACGTGAAATGCTGCAAAATGGGCACAGGATAGAATATTTTTATGCATATTTTTTATGCGGTCGGTAGGCACCCTTCTACCATTATACATACTTTATTACAACTAACAGGGCAAAGAACCCGTGGATCAGTGGCTAGGGACGTTAAACTTCCAACCAACAGGTCGCATGATCGAGCTCCAGGTGTTTTACACCTGGGGAATGGGTATGACTAGTTAACAATGGCAAATTAGCCAGAAATGTCCATTCCAATCTCCCTTTTTTCCTTCTGCATACACAAGGAGATGTAGTTCAGGAGAAAGCAATATATTTTAAGTTTTTTAATACTGAAAGTGCCCCTTCAGGCCAATAGAAGGAACTCCTGATATATTTAAGGGAATTAAAAGTTGATTTTTCGCTCTCCCGCATACTCACTCAGCAAGGCGACTTGCTTCGTTTGACCTCACTTGAGATGCATTAGCTTGATATATATGGTTCACTAGGTTATGAAGCTTACGTAATTCAAGTTAATTGCAAAACCTGTTATACATTTTAGATGTTTTCATAGATGAGAGAGACTCGTATTGTAAAGCGTCAATTAAGCTTATACACAAAATGAAATCATTTAATTTTTGATTGCTAGAGAAAAAACTGAACGAACTTCTTCGTGTGTAAAATCCTGAAGAGAGGCGCTGGAACTGCTCTCGGAGATCGGACCTTCATCGAAGTTGGATTCACATTGGCTCGACTTCAATAGCTTCAGGACTGGCAGGCGAGAGCTAAAAGTTTGTTTTTGTTGCGAAGTAGATAAAGCATTTAGGTCTGATGTGGACGGCCTCGTTTGAACCTCGGACGGTGTAAGAAGGGCGGAGGCACTATCATAGTCGCTTGATGAGTCGCGTTGACTGGCTACAAAATTAATTTGCGGTGACGATTAACTGATTAAAGTGGTAAATGATAGTCAAAGACGTGCGATTTTTTACCAGGAACAGGAGACTTCACGCTGAAACATCAGTAAAGCAAAAAGTCAGTGACACGCTTTTCTGCGTTACACAAGAATAAACGTAGCACAGTAGACGTTCCAGGATAACTCTGTTGTGCTTCATTGAGTAACATGATTTGTTGTAGATGGGAATAGAGAAATGAACCAGTGCAACCTTTAACCGCCTGGAGTATGTTGAAAATAAAAATTGCATCCACATGGGTGCTTCTAGGCCTAATTTACGCAGAAAACGGGCAGTCGCGTGTCGCATTTGCGCGATCAGTTAACAATGAACACGTAAATTTGAATGGAGACTCCTACTGGGAGCGTAGTTGCTAATCAAACTATTAAGAAAACTTCCTGTTGACAGCTATCGTGCACAGTATGATGATTTCTTACATTCCTAACAAAGCTGACGTTGGCATTTTTTAGATACAACTTTTGGACATAACACGAGTTTACGAAAGGCAGAATTATATGAAGCGACCACATTCCAAGTTACATAATTTGTTTAAATCGTATTGTCTAAAAGAGTCTAAACTAAACAGCTTGGTTGTCCAAAAGACAATTGTAACCCTGTAGGGGAACGAACAGATTTTTCGCAATTATCCCGTAAGTTTTTGGAATTTCATTCGAAGATATTTGCAAAAAACTGCCATGAAAAGTTAACGCGGGCTTTAAGAGTAATATGTTTTTTTTACGTAGAGATTGGTCCTTATGTCTGGCCTCACAATTTAAGCCAATAGAGCGAAAATAAAGTTGCTTGTTTATATTTCTCCAGATTTCAGTTGCCTATTAGCACAGTAATGCAGGCTTGGAAATAACTGTAGCTGTCGGTTGAGAATGGCTTCGCTCATTTATAATGAACACCAAGTCACAGGGTGGTAAAATGTTTTTCGACATTCTTCCGACAGATTGATAGTTTTAAGTTTTAAAAATAAACTTTTTGGAAAAAATATTTTGAAAGCCATTTCTGAAAATGTTCTTGCTACCTTGGGCCTCTTTGGACATCACAAGCTGCCGGAGTCGACTTTCTAGACAGCGAAGTGCTTCAGTAGACACTTCGCTCTCTCGTTCTGGGCGTTTAAAGCAAGCTGATGAGGTCAAAGCTGAGGTCTCCTTTTGTGAAGAGCTAAACTCTTCTTGAGGAAAACGTGACGAAGAATCGCTGCCACTGCTAACACTCCTGGTCCCGACGGGAGGTCGTGAGGTAATCCTTTTGGTGTAATGACTTTGGTCTACCGAGGGGCGGGAAAGATTGCTGCCTGCGAGGTAAACATTCATAAACAAAAGTGTCATTTCTTCTGTCAGTTAACATTCAGCACAAGTTGACACGTAAAATACGTAGTCAGCCAAGATTCGCATTGCATTACCGTGATGTTTTAAAATCAAATAATGGGGAAAATCGGAATATTCTCCTGCGGCACTTGATTTTTGAGGCGTGATCAACGAGAAAATACTTAGTATCAGCCCGTACAATGCAAAACAACGTTTTGGACTCGGTGTCAACTTGGTGTAAGTTTTCCGGGTGTAGTAAATCGCTGAAGTAATTTGCGTTTGGACAGCCTTTTCTATCTTATAGAGGCTTACTCAATCAGGCCGATTGGGTGTATGCAAAAATCTAATTAACTACCTATTTCGTCTCCTTATATTTCTTTTAAATATTTTCCCTCCCAATTGTATTTACTGTCTGTTTTGGAAAGTACAACTGGTCGTAAGAAACAAGCAAAACTTGGCACATATTATGCAATCGAACCTGTGCAACATATAGCGTCATATAACCTTAAAGTTATCAAATGATGTCAGAAATACTCTGAGCAAAATCGACAGTGCGAATAACGACTGCAGACCATACTGTATGTAATTATGACTGGAACGTTAATCAGAAATTATAACAGGCAATATGCGAAAATGGAAAAACAAGAGTTTGTTATATGAACTAGTAGTTACACTTGATTTTCAAGAAACTTTGAAGCTCCACCGTGCTCAATTTTCCAAGCTATAATTATTTGTCACAGTTTCAACCAAATAGACATTGATGTTCTAGTTTCATTTGCCCTAATAATAACAACGTTTACCTGGATAGTTTTCACGTCCTGGAAAGAAATTAAACAAGTTTTGGTTGTATGATCGAGTGGCGTTTCGCATTGGCGAGGACGGCTGACTGGCCGCTTGCTGCAAACGCAAAGGCGTTCCATGAGCTGGCATAATCGTTCGGGGTCGACTCGCAGGTGGAGATCGATTGTGAGCCTGTTGCCCGGTAGTCTGTAAACTAGGGCTGATGGCCCGATAGGGCTTAACTATGTTTGCCGGACGCAGGCGGGAGGATTTTGGAGCAGACGGCGTGACCGCTGGCGAATTATTGCGTACTACTGCCTGCTCTGTATAGTTTTTATCCCTGTTGCCGCCTGATGCATTCAGCGACGGTGATTGACGTGATTGACGTTCAGGATCGAACAGCTGCAATCGACTCTTACAGAGAGGAGGAGGAGGTGTTGCATCAGCAGGGCCGCGTGGAACATATGAACTTTTAAGAATTCGTTGCCCGGGTTGGAGACGCTGTGGTTCGTTTCTGTTCTGCTTTTCAAATATGTTCTCGTATGGACTCTTTGACATAATGATCAGTCTCTTACTAAAATATTAAAGGTAAGAAATCAGTAGAAGCATAGTGGAATCGGTGAGCAGTTGGTAATGTGAAGAGGTTGTTTTGTTGCAACTACATGTATTTTTTATGCCAAAAACCTCAAGAACGTATTGTGTCGGGGGTTATACATTCACCGTGAATAAGTAATTAACACTGCAAGCCTTTTGACCTTGTTCTAAAAAATTATAATAAATTATAGCCGGTTTAAATTGGACATCAGCTCAGTAAATCATCTTCTGGCATGAAATATTCTGTTCAGCGATCTGCCTTGCAGGTTTTTTCCGTCGATCTTGATCCCGATTAACTTGTCTTCACAGTTATCGTGAGTGACTGCTGACAGCTATCTGGCCCACAGTACTCTACGTCAACAGAATATCTGTCTGTTTAACGTAGTGGGGGCAAATATTGGTTGCCCGCCGAACCAGAATTTTAAGAAATATCCAGGAGAGTTCGGACGTTGCAAAACATTTTACAGGCAAGCGTTTGGGAGACCGTCATTTTTTGGTTTATTGACAGTACAAACGAAATTTCCTTTTGCGTCTTTGCTAAAAACGGACGAATCATCTACAAACAGGAGTAAAGTTTCTAGTGAATTGCGGTCAGCATCCAATGATTCATACTTCGAATTCGAGAACTAAGAAAATTTTCAAACTCGGATAGCAGTGCTCAATAACTCATAGCTTTTTTCACCTTTTTCAGAGCTAGAATGCGAAACCCTGAAAATGTACTAAGGTCGTCCGTGGCGTGATTATGGGCTACAAATTCGACTTAGTAAAGTGATAATGCAGGTTCTGCCCTAAGGGCTGAGAGTGTGAGACAGCAGTTGTGAGAAACCACGCCAGGTATCGATAATTCAGACGTCAGTAAAAATGCCATTTGTTCGAACTGCAAAAGCGAACTTGGATGTCAAAAAATATAAACTATTATGCTTTTATTGAGCTTAAGATTCCTGAGCAGTACAGTCACACTATTGTCAGTCAGACAAGTATAGACCTGACAACGTCAAAATTCCCGTGTATATGCTAAAACAAAACTGGGACAAACCCAACATTATAAGGGACATAATTTGAAAACTTGCACAAATAATTGAAGTGCTTTAAGGAAGGCCTTATGCATATTGGCGTTTGACGCATGAATATTGAGATTATTATCGGATGCATTGTCATGCGTAATACGGCTCAAAATCTAGCACAATCTGAACTTTATATAAACAGCACATAAACTGAGGGTCAACTACGTAAAAAATACCAAAAATGCCCAAAGATTAAAATGAAATCCAGGATCCTTATCGAAGTTAGCTCATAAGTACCGTTAACAACCTCAAAATGCTTTTGTACACGTGTGCGGATGAAAAACTGTCGTTAAGTATGTTATCTAGCAGTCGAGCCACTACACATACTGCCCCTCTATCGACATTATGTATTCAGTGTATTAGTGTCGACGAAGATAAGGGAGACTTTAGGGACCATTTCTTGCTTATTAGCCGTCGTCAGCCAATTATACCCAACCCCGAAGTGTGGAACACCCGAGACTCGAACTCTGAACCTGTTATTCAGAAGTCCACGCCTCGAACCGCTGGGCCACGTGCCCGTTGTCCTGTCGGTTTCGATCGGGAATACACAGTGGTAAGGGGCGCTCAACGATAGTTCATACGGAACTCACTCGCTCCGTTGTGCCTTACAGGCTCTCTCTCGAGCCCAACCAGCAGCCGCACAGCGGCGAATGATATAGACAAAATGACCGGGGTCGCGAGTACGAGTCTCGGGTGTTCCCCACTTCGGGGTTGGGCAGGACTAGCTGACGACAGTTAATAAGCTATTATTGGTCATTCAAGCTTCCCTTGCTTTTGTCGGTAAGGTCATTCGGCTTATATCATGAGCCGCTGTGCAGCTGCTGGCTGGGCTCGAGAGAGAACCCGATAGGCATAACAGAACGAACGAATTCCGGAGAAACGACCGTGTAGTGCCCGTGAGCCATAGAAATAGATAAAGTGTTTTCTAAAGACGATAGCGAGCTCGCTATCGGATATCGCTATTGGATATCCATACTAGTATACATATCCAATTGAAACGATTGCAAACTTTGCATGAATCGCTGACTTGAATTGTTCCTGCCAAAGAGGACGGCCTGAAGTACGAAAATTACCCTATAGACAACAATTGCAGTGTGAGAGAAAGCTTGAGGTTTACTTTATAGAGAAAACGCGCGGAGGTTATTAAGGGCTATCAATATAGATAATGGTCCAAATGAACAATATGCGAATCATGAGGAACATATACTGTACGCGCAATGTTCGAACAAATGTCTGAAATAAAACAATGTTTTGAGAAACGTTATTATGAATTAGGCCGTCTGGTATGCCAATTTTGTTAACATAGTTCTGAATTACATCAAAATTTGTCGCAATAATGGGAAATCGGTGACCTCGTCGAAGGGTATAAACAGACATCATCTTCAAGGTCGAATCAAGGTTTTATTTCAGATTACAGAATTTCAGTAACATAAAGTTGACAAAAAGACGTTGAGTTTTTACGCGATTGTGAAACTTCATAAACACTTTTATGTCGCCGATACTAATTTAAGGAGGGGAGAGTTGTACTACGTAATGAAAATTTGGTCTGACTCTTTTAGCATTTTGAAAATGTAGCGAGCGCGACATTGGGCGTCGGCAGTCGGTGTTGCGTAAAATACGACAAAATTTGGATGGTAGATAACAAAGCTAAACAAGCAGTATCGAACAGAAGAAGAACAAAAAAATTTGAAGTCTTTGCTTTAAATAATAATATGAGATGTGAAACAGTACTCAAAAACTCGCCTTGGAAATACTCAATGATGTGGTTTTCATCTAGAAGGCTTTTAAATTTTAATAAAAAACACTACCTTGCACTTACGTCAAACCTTTATAAGATGCTGCCCATTGGCTTTCATCGAGAGAGCGTTATTGCATTCTCCTCCTTGGGTTGATTCCAAAGTTGCTTTGTCAGGAAATCACATTAGGAAGTTGGATTAACATTGTATACGTCAAACGTCCACGATGTTCCAACCTTAAAATTTTCGTAATCCGTACAGCGAAAACGTTTCTCTAGCTTAATCAGCCATTCTTCCCCCAAAAACAGGAATTTCCCAAACCCATTTACAGTTGCTTTTTTCACTTTACCTTTTATACATACTCATTTTCTATTTTTATTTTCCGTGGAACTCAAGGGACTACAGGTTTGTTTTCCTCGTTTTCACGCGCTGAAAGCTTAACGATTCAGATTGTAGTTTTTCTTATATATTTTGGAACCCGAAAATTGCGGAAGACGCCATTATAGTCGGTAGATTTGCTTTGCGAACTCTATTTCGCAAACTTTTACGTCCTAAAAGTTTGACGGAGGTGCACGAAATGGACTTGCTCCACATATTTACACTAAAGGAATTTATGCAGTCTGCAGCTTCTCCTACATTTGTGCGTCTTTCAAAAAGAAACGTAGAAATGACTGATTCGGTTTTCATTTCTAAAGGAGGTTCGTGGACATCCATGCAGATTTTGGCTCATGGAGCCTGTCATTCGTATAAGTATCCAATGTAATAGGTAAATTTTGGGAAACTCTTTTAATATCATTTTCTCACCGGTGTCTTTTGAGCTTCGTAGATCATCCACAATTTAATTAACTTCCATAGTCCTGCTAAAATATCTAGTCTCATTAACCCCTATCGAACTCAAAAATGACGTAGTTACCGCCTACTTAATTACATATCTAGTATCGCGTATACGTGGTCCATGAAACCAAGTATATAGTAGTTGTATCGTTGTTAACGATGTCATCTAACGTGTATTACGCGGAGTGAACGTACAATGGTGAATCGCGCATGATTTCCTTCACAGTGAAGAAGAACTATTCGGTTTCTTTAGCGCTCTGCCTATTCAGCTACCTGGGCCCAGTAGGAGAAAATATCAAGGACACCGTTAGCGAAGTCTATAACAACGGCTAACAAATCCGCACAGTCCATCCACGCGTACCACACATGACCCGGTTCCATCTCATCCAGCGGGTCTTCGTGAGGACGGTTCAGATATCATATTCCCAAAAGTGAGCTAAAGACCATATTTAGGTCCCATAAGCTCGACTCCAGACAGAAATCAGTCTAATTTCGATGCGCCATTACCCATGAGAGCGGCACGGTGGCGAAAGATTGCCATAGTGCAGATGGTACGATGAAACATCACCGAAAAATAATAAACGCAAAATTCTAATCAGGGGTGTCCTACAGCACGCGCCATGCATATCCAAAAAGCGAGTGACCACGATAGATATTTTTTCCTGAAGAGTAAGGGAATTTCCACCGTACAATATGCTTTCCGACTAAGCAAAGCAGACTCAGGCTGTGATCTAAGAGCCTCTCCAAGACCCTTAAAAGTTATTTCAGGAAACAAATCGTAGACAACGTTTCTGTTAGAAGGAAAAGGGACTTTACGGAGCTCGCGCAAAAAGGCGCTCTTCATCCGGACTACGAATCGAGGGATAGATTGAAAATGAAAAAATTGTGGTGCGAAACGAGGGCGAGCTAGGGAGAATTAGTAGGGGGGAAATGGCCGGGAATTACAAATGACCGACTAGTCCAGACTAAACAGCCGTTTTCGTGGTCAAAACCTGCCAAAATGAAGACTGGGCCTTCCGACGAAACGATCACCGCAGGTTATCTCCGAAAATGTGCAAAACTGTTCAAAAAACTGTGTGATTTAAGGAAATTAGTTGATGGAATTAAATCAGCCATTATAACTTCGACGGAAACGTACACTTCTGCAGATGTTGCAGCTTGGGAAATATCACTTTAATTATATTGACAGTTCGGGAAAGGCAGCCCGAGCAGAGGAGGGGAGTCATCATTTAAATCACTTGCAAGCTGGCCGCTATGACTGAGGAATGTACTTGGAGCGATGTAGAAGCGTTAAGCATTAGCATGTCTGCTAATTGTGCCTGATCACTGACGTTTTCGGTGGTGTTCCGTCAGCCCATCTCGACCCCTGATCACTATTGCATTCACATATCTATATTGTTCAAATACGGTGGGATGGAAGATGTCCTTATCGTTGGTGATGCTACACGCTGGGTGATAAGTGGCAAACAGTGACGTCACAAGAGCTTTTAGATAACTTTAATCACATACTACTACAATGGGCAACAAAAAACTCCTTTACTGGAACGTTACCTTTGGGACGCAGTCTAGGGAAGGATAACAGTCGGACTGCCTTGACGTTATATTTACCCGAAAGAACGGAATTGTGATAGGCTTGTAGGATGGGTCGCCACTGGGGTCAAGCAATCAGATTACGCCGTACTTCGAGTAAGCAGTGTTCTCCAAACCAGCTTTGCCTGATAGTTGGGTAGGAAACGTTTGTAATGGGGACTATCCACTCATGAAAAAACATCGTCAAAGGTATCGTGAAAAACAGAACTTCATGGTGAAGCAAGTGACAACTGGAGGAGTTTCAGTTCCTTACTGAAAATGGCTGCTTACCCCATACGTAATCCCAGAACGAAGACAATCACAAACCACCCAAGGTGGGTGAACTCGGATTTGAAGACTTCTTTCAAAAAGCGCTTTTAGATGAGTTGCAGACTAACGGGTTCCTAAGAGCACTTACGGGAATATAAGCAACAATGCAACATTTATAGAAGTGACGCTATCATGTCGCGAAGGAAGTTCGAACTGAACATACGACGAAATTCATTGAACCACCCCTTTATTCAATAAGGCGTACTGAGAGAACTCCTGAACTGCTCTCCGTCTTTAGGGCTGTAGTTTGAAAATTGAAGTTCTTCTTGTCCGTCTTCACCGGAGGACCTTCATCGGTCCGCCAACTAATGTCTTCATCTCCTCCTCAAAGGAGGATCTATACTTTACATCGGCCATAGTAAGGGCCGAATTACTTCTATTGAATCCTTTCAAAGCGCCTGGTTAGGATGGAATTACTGCATTAGCACTTGGGAAAACTTGTTAATGAACTTCAGGAACCAGTGGTTATAATACTTCAAAAGTCATTTTAAGAAGGCCAACTCCTGAAAGAATGGAAGTATACATTCATCACCCCGATCCATTAAGGAGGTTCACGACTTGACTGCAAAAATTTCTGATTTGTCATTTTGACTTGCATCGCGTTTAAAACAATGGAATGCATTATTAAAAGATGTTTGATGAAATACCTGGAAAAAAATAAGATATTCTGTGATGCCCAGCACGACTTTCGTCGAGGATGTTCTTACCTTTTAGGTGTTTTTTACTCGCAGGAGAAATAGACAAGGGTCACAGATATGGACTATCTAGTAGGTTTCATATTTTTACTTCATGAAGGTTCTTGATAGAGGCCCATGGAAGCTTCTCTTACAGAGGATTTGGGATGTAAAACTTCGAGGAAAAATGTTTAGGTGGATCAAGAGGTTCCTGTCCTCCAGAGCACGTAGAATCGTTGCTGGTAATTCATCCTCGGAGTGGGCAAAGGGGAAAGGGATGTCCCAGGGGGTTCTGATTTAGGCCAACTGCTCTTCCTGATTTGTTTAAAATAATGTGTCAAAGAACTGTCAGGTGAAGCTCTCACGTTTGTGGACGACAAAAATATGGAGTGAAGTGGACTGTGTTTCTGACAGAAAAAGATCCAATCGAACATCAATAAACTGAGTGTTTTGTCAAACAGATGGCCTTTAAAGTTTAGTTTGTCCAAATTCGTGGTCCCACAAATAGACGCCAGACGAAATGCATCTCCCAAACGTCAGCATTATATTAACGGGGCGGCAATAAAAAAGTATTTAAAGGCACCGAGACTTAGGTGTGTGGATGACCACAAAGCTGATACCATCAGAACACAGTAAGAAGATAGTTTAGAATGCAGCTAATACACTACGTGGATCAGACGTGCATTTAAAATATTTCCTCCAGACCTCTTTAGAAGACTTTTCGGCGTCTTTGTAAGACCACGCCTGGAATATAGAATGCGAGCATTTACACCATGATTGAGGAAGGATTTTGACCCCCTCGAATAGCTGCAAGGCAGAGCAACGATGATGATTTATGGTCTAAGGCATTTGTCGTACCAGAAAGGACTGAATTCATTATAATTCAGTATATATGAGGGATAGAGGCAGAGCCTTGGAAAACCCTATTTACAGATAGACGTAGAAAAAAAAACATGCAGATATTTTCATAGCAGTTATACCAGTCACTGATAGCAGGTAAATGTTTGATCAAGCATAAGTTTATCTAGTCTTCTTTTGAAAGTCTCGACGTTTTCTGCTAAGACAACGGAGTTCAGCAATTTGTTCCATCCCTCAACCAGCCGGTGAGAGAAAAATTTGGTCCGCAGATCGAGTCTGGCATGTTTCATCTTCAACTTGTATGCGTGCCCTCGGAGATTTGTCGTCCGCGCCAGTTCGAAGAAGTCGTCAAACTGAAGAGCACATTCTAGCCCTCGGACGATCCTGAAGGCCATGATCATGTCCCCTCTGTACTGTCTATAAGAGAGAGGAAATATTTTTAGCTTCTCCAGCCGTCTCTCATAAGGTAAGGTACATAATCCGCCGACTAGCCTGGTCGCTCTACGTTGTACATTCTCCAGTAGGGTGTAATCTTTTTTCGTCCAGGGACACCATGCCTGGACACAATATTCAAACATTGGTCGAACGTATGCACCAAATACTCGGCCGAAAAGTTCTTCATCAAAATTGACGAAAGATCTTCTAATCGCGCCTAAAATACCCATAGCTTTCTTTGATACCTTAGCGCAGTGAGACGATGGTTTGTTAGTTGACGTCATCCACACACCGAGGTCTCTTAACTCGATGACTGATTCGAGTTGGTGACCTCCTATAAAGTACTGAGATTCAAATCTCAACGGCCTCCTGTTGCTCGAACGTAATCGGATAAGTTGGCATTTTTTACGATTGAGGCTTAGACACCACTCATCACACCATTTTTGCAAGCGATTTAAATTGTCTTGTAATTGTACAGAATCTTCCGGCTTCTCTATTGATTGCCACAATTTGAGATCGTCGGCAAACATAACTCGCTCGCAGTTCAGACAGTCCAGGCAGTCGTTCACATATATAAGGAACAGAATTGGACCCAGAACGCTTCCCTGCGGAACGCCACTGTGCACGGATGCCCATTCCGATTTAGCGTTCCCGATACACACACGCTGAGATCTTCCCGTAAGAAAATCGGCTAGCCATTTCAGAAGATTTCCATTCACACCCACTTGACGTAGTTTACATATAAGTCGTCTGTGTGGAACACTGTCAAAAGCCTTTTTGAAGTCGATGTACACGGCGTCGACTGATAAGTCCATGTCAATTGATTTCGTCCAGCTTTCCATGGATACTAGGAGGTTGGTGAGACAAGATCGACCGCTTCGGAATCCATGCTGATGTTTACTGAGCAAGTTGTTTTCTTCGAGGTGCCGCATCAGCTCCGTTTTTATTACTCTTTCCATCAACTTGCAACAGATGCTAGTGAGACTCACTGGTCTGAAACTATTTGGGGCTATTCTCTCGCCGCCTTTATAAATGGGGCTTATATTTGCTTTCTTCCAGTCGGCAGGCAAAGCCCCGGTCTCCATCGATGTTTTGAAGATCTTGGATAACGGAGAGGCCAGTTGGTCTGAGAGCTCATTCAGAACTTTCGCGAACACGCCGTCCGGACCAGGGGATTTAGTGGGCTGTAGTTGCCTCAAAATTTTCCTTACCGTGTCTGTTGTGAAGTCCACCGTGCTAATTGTACTGTTGGATTTGACATTTGGGGGGTAAACTCTTTCATCAAAAGCCGGCTCCTCAGTATACACAGACGTGAAGAAGTCGGATAACAGATTCGCCTTATCTGAGTTGTCAGACAACGTATTTCCCTGGCGATCTTTTAGGCAGGGAATGCAGTCCCGGTTGCGTTTTGCTTTATTCACGTATCCAAAGAATTTTTTTGAATTTTGCGGGATATTTTTTAAAAGTTTTGACTCAAATTGTGCCCGTTGCCTCCTCAACAGATTCCGACATAAA